ATCTCCCTGGTCGAAATCCACTTTGTTCTTCGATCTCTGTGGCTTCTTTTTCTATTCTGGCTTTCAGAACCCTTTCATACAGTTTGCCAGTGGATGACGTAATGCTGATACCTCGGTAATTACTGCAGTCATTCCTGTTTCCCTTTTGTAGATGGAGTTTATGTACGAGACTTTCCAATCTCTTGGGATACTTTCTCCTTGTAGGCACTTGTTAAACATTTTACAAAGCAATTCTAATGTTATTGCAGTGGCATGTTTGAATAACTCGATAGGTAAATCACCCGGCCCAGGAGCTTTATTTTTTTTCATTTTTTGTAATGCGTTTTTTATTTCTTCTACGGTAATCATCGCCACTTCATTTAACCCCGTTTCAACTCTATCTATCTGTGTGTCTAGAAACTGTGTACGTTGTTCATTTAATAGATTTTCATAATAATTTTTCCATCTTTCTATGTCTATGGGGTTTATTTTTTTTTGTTTCGTTTGTATTTTTTCTAAGACTGTTGATAGTTTTCCAAGCTTGTCTGGACCTAGATCCTCCTACCATTGAGCTTATTTCTGCACACTTGTTGTCCCAGGTTATGTTTTTTGTTTTTTTAATTTCCGTTTTTACTATATATTTGTATCTGTTATAGTTCTTTCGGTCTTCCTCATCTTTTGTCGCTAACCATTTGAGATACAGTTTTTTCTTTTCTTCTACCAGTTCTAATAAACCTTCTGTCCACCAATAATTTCTACGTTTTACTTTTTCTTTCGTACCTAGAGCTTCTAATGCTGCTTCATGAATTTTGATTTTCAAAGTCTCATACATTTCTTCCGCTGTTCCGTTTATTTCTTCGTCTAATTTTTGTGCCAAACGTAGTTTATAAAGAAAACTTGTGGACTCATTTTTTAAGCTGTCTATGTTATAGAGCCGTGTGGATTCTTTGTTTGTCTGTTCTTGGGATTTATTTTGTTTAATATATCTTATTTCCACGGGTGCCTTTACTAGTAGGTGATCCGATCCACATTCTGCCCCTCTCCAAACTTTTACATCGTAGGGTCTTAAAGATGTCTCTTGTTTAACTACTATATAGTCTATAATTGACTGCAGTTTTCTTGTCTTTTAAGTCCATGTATATTTATTTATGTCTCTATGTTTGTAAAATCGATTCAGTATTTTTAACGAATGTTGTTCGCATACTTCCAACCATCTTGTTCCGTTCTCATTTACTACATCTTCTTCGTGTTGTCCAATTATTTTGTTGTCAAGAGCTTTACCTACTCTTCCGTTCAGGTCCCCTAGCAGTAAGTTAACAAATGAATAAAATCAAAATATATTGAAATAAAATAATTATTTTAACAAAAATAGCAAACATGTGACGTTTATGATATTACACTATAAAGCAGTAGAGTATGTCAAATAAAATGGAATAAAAATGTTATGCATCCTACCCCTTTGTACGCAATGAATCTTCTTCTCATGCCGCCGTCTTCTTTCGAAGGTTGGCGATCCAAATGGCAACTGTGGTTTTGGAAACTGCTGAGCGAAATATTTTTGCAAATGAGCGGTCGAACCATCTCCTCAGGTCTTTCAGCCATGAGTTATGGCGTCTTCCTGTATTCATTGCCTTCCACAATGAATACAGCCACTAAATGTTGCTTGACAAGAAGCGTAAAAGGTCTTATCTTGGACACATAGACACGACAGGTATAACTTCTGAAAGAAAAATAGAAGCAGACGCGGCTTGGGTAGACGACAAATGACATGGCTGCGCAACATCACAGATTGGACAGAATTAGACTTTTAAAGTTTAATAAGGAAAGCCCAAAATAGGGAAGACTTTGCAGAGGTCACTGCCAACCTTCGCTAAGAAGACGGCACCCAAAGAAGAAGAAATATTGCTTTTTGTGGGCCACTTTCCACATATTACAACCAGGAAATATCAACTTAGTTTAACCCTTATCCGGGCAACACATTTTACTTACGTAGAAGAGTAACTCAGGTCCGTTGGGCCCACCACTGTTCTTGAATGTACTATTCATATTTACCGATATATTTCTAATATTTTTTTTTGATTTTTTATTAAAGTTAAAGTTAAATTATCTAGATTAAAAACAGGTGCTACTATAGTATGCAGTCTACCTCGAGGCTGCGATCTGCCTGAAGGATTTGTACGAAATATTGAAATACAAAAAAACTTTTGTAGAAAAAATATTTATTCACAAGTAATAAACATTTGGAGCCAAATAAAGACTGAGTGTCCGTCTACCAAGCCATTTTATTTGAAAAGAGGGGTTGATGTTTACGAATAACCTGGAAAAACATTACGGTGTTGTTGCCTTTCATTATTGTGTCAAAAACCATTCTCAGAAAAGATTCTTCTAATTAGCAGATCATGTATAAAGTACCGACAAAATCAATATTTACAAAATGAATAAAACGCAAAGTCAAAAGAATCTTATTTTTTACTTTTACAAATTAATACTTTGTCCTATTAATTTACTATTTTAGTTGGGACTAAGCCACAAGATTAGCTTATTCCCAACTAGAATAGCAAATTGATATGACAAATTATTTTATTTTATTTTTTATTTATAAATTAATACTTTGTCATATTAATTTACTATTTTAGCTGGGACTTAGCCACAAGATTAGCTTATTTCCAACTAGAATAGCAAATTGATATGACAAATTGTGTCATGATTCTGTTTAATATTCTTAAAAATGCCTTTGACAAAGTGAACAAATATAATGCAAAGGATACATTTTCATTTGTTAATGATGTCAGAGAGTTGATTTTACCATAAGATTTTGTTTTAATTTCGTTAGATGTCATATCGTTATTTACTAACATACCAATAGATCTGGTCAGTAATATAATGCAGTCAAAATGGAATCTCATTCAAAATTATACAACAATTTCCAATGATAGTTTTTTAACACTTCTGAACTATGTTTTTGAGAACACCTATTTTAGTTTTAATGATAAATTCTATCGACAAACATTTGGAGCACCTATGGGTAGTCCAGTCAGCCCCATAATAGCAATCATCAATTTCGACCATTTGCTGGATGTCATTATTAAACAATTACCTTTCCCTTAACCCTTCATTAAAAAATTTGTAGCCGATCTTATATGTTCTGTTCCTACTTCACAAATTCAAAATACCTTGAACATTTTAAATAACTTTAACAAACATATCCAATTTACTTTAGAGATTGAAAATGATTGTTCGATATCATTTCTGGATACCAAATTAATAAGAACTGAACAAAACAAAATATTGATAGATTGGTATCAAAAGCCAACACACTCTCCAAGATATTTAAACTTTTTTTCAAATCGTCCGTCTCATCGAAAGTTTAATACAATGATTGCAATGAAGAATAGGGTAAGACATATTAGTGATGATACATTTATAAAGAGAAACTTAAATTTGCTGTTAAACATCTTTGAGAATAATGGATAGCCAAAATATATCGTTAAAAGATTGATATTTAACTCAGACATTTTTGTCGTTCCCACTGATATCAGAGCAGTATAAGCAATACAATACAAAAAACCACCATTAATAAAACAATTAACACCTTCTGTGACTAGTTTATTTAAACAATTTACTAACATTACAATTGTCTAATACTTGATGTCAATTTATTAGAAAACCGACAACTGTTTTCTAAAGTAAAAGACAAGACACCACCTGTAAATAAAACTAATGTTATCCACAAACTGCCTTGTTTGGAGTGCCAGAGCCGTTATGTTGGCCAAACTTCTCAATGGCTAAAACAAAGGGTTACACAACACAAAAGTGACTGCACAAAAAGAAGAATGCATCTACGGCAGTTGACCATCACTTAAAAACTGGACATCAATTTGACTATTAAAATGTCAGGGTTCTACAGCAAGAAAGTAATTACAAAAAAATAATTGTTTTTAGAAATGTGTCATATTAATAGAGAAAACTATGCAGTAAATTACAAGGCAGACACGGGACAGTTGATCAACATCTACTGTAATATTCTTAGTATGTTCAAATATTTTTTTTTTCTGTTTACAATTATATTTTAAATCACCCTGTATATTTTTAATGCGTAATTTTATTGTGTTTTAATTGTTTCTTGGTTGGTTTTGTTTGTTCTGTTTTTATATTTAATTACTAGTGACCTAGGTGCTTTTAACCAATATTGTTAGTACTGTTTTGAACATATTATGTTCAACAACTTTTTTAAATATTTTTGTATACTTTGTTAATACGTCAACAGGTGGCGTTAGGAACAAACATAATAATTCATTGAATATAATATAATTTGTTTAAAATATAAAGAAGAAACAATAAAATTATTTTATTCAATTTTAAAAATATAGAAACATGGTACCTATACAGCTTCGCGCTAGTCTACGCCTACAATAACACTTTTTTGTCCCAAATCAAACAAAAGTATGTTATGTTAGGCACAATTCCCCTATTGCTTTAAAGCATTCAGAGATAGTGTATTTTTTGTTTTACTTTTTTTTCCATATCGCAAAATTGTTGGCAAATTTTATTAAAAACTCTTAAAATATTGTTTGATATGTATATTAACAAAGAAAATCCTAGTATATGTCATTTTAGACATTTACCAGGATTTTCGCTATGATCGCTGTTATCTTCTATGTATTAGGAAATGTTTCCGGAAAGTTAAACCACAACTAAAAAACCAATCGCTTAAAGTGCTTTAATTTATCTGACTTAGCTTATATTTTTGTTGCGTTTATAGTGCGTATTTTTTTTAGAAACATTTTGTGACAATTTACGTACTGTAGTTTAATTATAAAGCTATCTAATTATGTGTAAATTTATAACTAATTAACATTTTTAGTTACTGTAGTAACACACTATCTAGTAGAATAATATATTACACATAAATAAATGTTGAATTATGCCATATAACCTTGAGGGTCATCACTACCACTATAACTATTTACTTATAGTAAAATGATTGATGCTCAATATACTTTCAGTTTCAAATTAGCACCATGAGGAGGTTTCTTCGCCCAACAATTAAACTAACAAAAAATGTGCACGCTAAAAAATGCAATCATCAGGAGTAAGTTATAAAAAATTTTTTTCGCTATAACTATCAGCAATTACTAAAATATATTAGATTAATTTCAAAAGCTAATAATTATCGAGTATTACTTTATTGTGCATTTACATAGGTTGTGTGTGTATGTTTGTGGTTGTGATATTAACTGTAAAACCAATGGTTTCATTCGCCTAATCATCTTTGCCTTTGATTCTTAAATCAAAAATTAAAATAAAGTCTATTAATATTTAAACTTGATATAATCAATATTTTAAAAACAATATACCCATGTTAAAAAATTCTACATTATACAATTGGTAAACTTTGTTGTTGTTTATTTGTGTTAATATGACTGCGGACACTAAATCCATTCATAATCTTACAATTTATACTCATTTTTTTCATTAGTCATTGTTTTGTATACAATCTTATCGTAAATCTATTACTAGTATTTTTCTCTAATATATAGTATTTTTTTTTTTGGTAATTTGTTTCTAGTTTTTTTTTTTTGTATTAGGTGCGTTTTTAGTTCCACAGCAAACTCTTCTGCAGCTATCTACTAATTTAATAGCTACTTTACTATGAACTGTCCAAGTTTCTTATTTTTTCTATTTTTTTTTTATTTTAATCTATTTTTATTTATTTTTTTTTTATTTAATACTTATTTATTATATTTTTTATTTTATTTTTTTTTTATTTTCTTTTTATTTTCTTGTTCTATTATTTATTTATATATGTATTTTTATATTCTAACAAACTACAAAGAAATACTTACTCTATATTTACCATTACAATTTGAGTTTAATATCTAAAAGATGTTTATACAATAATCTATATAATAACTCATTGTTTTCTAACGATAATAAATAATTTAAATTAATGGGATGGCGGACATCGGTCAAAGAATACAGCGAATTTAAAAAATTAATAATCTTATTAAATATAAGAGAACAGTACAAAATTTTATGTTGTAGGTTACCCATCTGACCACAAGTACATTGTGGACTATCAGCTAGATTCATTTTAAACATATATGATTGTGTAAAACAGTGGTTTAATCTCATTCTGCATATTATGTACTAGTTCTTGTCATATCTTTTGTCGACTTTATTTTAGAAAACCAAGGTTTATCCGTAATATGGTTTCTGATTGCTTTGTAACGGTTTCCTGTATTTATATTCTCAGTAATATACCTTTTGTTTCACTATTTCTTAAGCTCTTTGAATGTGTATGATTTTATATCTCTAGACGTACAAAGATAACGAGTTATGACTCCGTGTGTCACCGCGTTGTTTTTCCAATTTATCTATTTCGTTTCCTGTTATTCCACAGTACCTAACTTTTAATCCATGCCAACTTAACAGTTTTGCCTTTCTGCCGAAGTTCTTTAATTTTATTTATTATATATATATATATATATATATATATATATATATATATATATATATATATATATATATATATATTGTGGCTAAACACCCCGTACGGGGTTACGCCGCTTAAGCTCTCTAGATCTATTTTACGAGGTAGATCAGTCCTCATTTTCTTTATTTAATTTTTCTTGTTATTTTTCTCCACTGTTTCCTATCTCTGGTTTTTCTCTCCATTGTCGTACGCCCGCCTGTTGAGATCGTTTGTTACTTCTTGTAGCCATGTAGATCTTGGTCTTCCACGTCTTCGTTTACCAGCTGGTGTCCATTCCAATATTGAGAATATTGTCGTAGATGGTCCTGATCTCCATATATGTCCTAGCCATTTTGCCCTTTGCTGTTTTATTTTACAAACTATATCCTCTTTAATTTCGTTTAGAAGTTCATGATTCGTTCTTTGTCTATATTGGTTTTCATTAATTTTTATTGGTCCTAATATTGCTCTTAGTATTTTCCTTTCTAGTATTCTAAGGTCTTCCTCTTGTTTTTTTGTCATGCTAAGGGTTTCGGCAGCATACATCATAGTCGGTCGAATTATTGTTTTATATATTTTCATTTTCGATTTTTTGCTCAGTAATTTATTTTTTAGAAGCTTTTTATTTGCATAGTATGTCTTATTTGCTGTAATTATCCTTTCTTTAATTTCTGTTTCCCTTTCTCCATTGTTTGCTAATAATATTGCCAAATACTTGAACTTTTCTACTTCTTCAAATATATATTCTCCCAGTCTAACCTTTTTATTTTCATATTTTTTGTCAAATCTCATTATTTTTGTTTTTTCTTGATTTATTACTAATCCCATTAATTTCCCTTCTTCTACCAATTCTTTTAACATACTTTCCATTTTTTTTCTGTTCTTTGTTATTATCACAATATCGTCGGCATATGCTATTATTTGTCCCTCTCTCGTTCTAAGTGTACCTTTGTTGATTTTTCTGACTATATATTCCAGGGCAAGATTAAACAGAGTTGCAGATAATGAATCTCCTTGACGTACACCTTTATTTATAACAAATTCTTCTGTGTCTCCTTCTCGTGTTTTTACAGTTACTACGGTTTTGCCCATTGTCATTTTTATTAATCGTCTTAATTTGTTGTGTATTCTCATTTCTCTCATAGCTGTAAGTAATTTCGCTCTGTTTATTGAATCAAATGCTTGTTGGAAGTCTATAAAAAGCAGTTCAATTTCTATTTTATATCCATAAGCTTTCTCCATAATTTGCTTTACCGTATGTATGGCATCTGTTGTTGACTTTCCCCTAATAAATCCGCATTGATACTGTCCCATGATATTTGTAGTCGCTTCGGCCAGTCTTCGTTGTATTAAGGTTGACATGATTTTATACGCTGTGTTTAATAATGTCAGTCCTCTATAATTATTACACATTTGTTGGTCTCCTTTTTTATGGATTGTGATAATTTGTCCTTTGTGCCATTCTTCTGGCATCTTTTCTTCGTCCAATATGACTTTTATTAATTGGTATATTTTTTCTCTGAGTTCATTTCCACCATATTTTATAAGTTCCATGTTTATACCGTCTATACCTGGTGCTTTACCGTTGCGACTACTGTTTATAATTTCCTCAACTTCATCTCTCGTTGGTTTTTCTAGCTCAGTTTCTATCATCGTGGTCTCTTCTTCCACATTTTCAGTTAAGTCTTCGTCCTCTTGTACTGTTAATAATTCTTTAAAATAATCAGTCCAGATTTCTTTAAACTCTTTGTCATTTTTTGATACTTTTCCATTTCTATCCTTTATGCCTTTTATCTTTCCTTTGAAGGTTTTGTTCTGCTCGCTAATTTTCTTATAAAATGCTTTTGTGTTTCTGTTTGTGTTGTCTTTTTCTATTTCATTTATCTTATCATTTAACCAGGTTCGTTTAATTTTTCTTATTTGTTTCTTACATTCTGTCCTTCATTTGTTGTATTCTTCTTTATATTCTTGTCTATTTGTTCTGATCCACCTTTGTCTTATTTCTATCTTCTTTTTTAACATGTTATGATAGTCTTGATTATACCATTCTTCTTTTTTGTTCTTTCTCTCTATCCCTACATGTTCAGAAGCTGTTTCATTTATACATTTTTTTATATTGCTCCATTCTGTTTCAACATCCTCTGTATGTTCACAGTATTCCTTCAGGTTTTTGCTTATATCTTCTGCATATTTAATTTAATCTGTAGCATTTAATTTTTCTATGTACCATTTGTCCTTTGTTGTCTTGTTTTTTTAGCGTTCTTTTGACTTTTTGTCTTATCGTTGCGGTAACCATGAAATGGTCTGTGTCTGCATGTGCACCTCTGTATGTTCTCACGTCTGTTATCGATGTTTGCTTTCTCTTTGTGATGAGTATATGGTCTATTTGAGACCATGCTTTTTGGTCTGGTGAGACCCATGTTACTTTGTGGTATACAGGGTGTGCAAATTTTGTACTACTGACAATCATATTGGTGCTAGTTGCTAAGTTGCATAATCTTTGACCATTATCATTTGTTTTTTCATGTAATGTATATTTACCTGCAACTTGGTTAATGTAGTCTTCTTTGCCTATCTGAGCGTTAAAATCTCCCATTACCAGAATTGTGTCTTGTTTTGGTAAAGATTCAATTTCTTGTTCCAGTTTCTCATAGATGTTATCTTTTTCCTCTGCTACAGCACTTTCAGTTGGTGCATATACGTTTATGATGGATATATTTAATGGTTTGGCGTTAATTCTCAGGTATGCCATGCGCTCATTTATTGGTTTAAATTGCATAATATTATTTTGTATTTTTCCTGTAGTTATAAATGCAACTCATATTGACCTTGTTTTTCGTGCCCAGAGTAGTGTAATGTGTAATTTTTTTTATTTATTTCTCCTTGACCTGCCCATCTAATTTCTTGAATTGCTGCAACATCAATTCCGTATCTTTCCAGCTCTGAGACAATCTCTTGCATTTTTCCTGGTTCAAGCATTGTTCTGATGTTCCACGTACTTATTTTTACTTGCTCGTGTTTTTTAATTTTTTTGTTATGTTTTTTTATATACGTATGTTTTATTATTTTTTCTTGAGAATTCATATCCTTTTTCTTTGCCATTTGTATCTTCTGTTGTATCTTCATCTCTTCGTGCGTTAGATCATTATTAATGTATATTTTATTTATTATATATTTATTATATATAATTCAATGTAATTATTTTTGATTTAGGATTTATATCACTAATTTTATCTAAAGAACTTTTGCTATCACTATAAATTATAAACTTTGAATTATATATATATTAAATAAATAGTTTAGTGCTTCTACTATCGCTACTAATTCAGCTGTGCATATAATACTCACGGTGGAATTGAGCTTAAACATTTTACTATTTTTATTACTGTTATCCCAGTATGCACATCCCACACCATCGATACTTTTGGATGTAGCATCTGTATAATATAGCATATAACAATGTTAAAACAATTGTGAACTGTCAGATATAAACATTAATTTTCTTAAAGATAAAAAAAAATTGCTGTTGTCGCTTAAGAAGTATACTTTGGATTTAGGTCATATTTATATAGTTGTTTATGATATATTGTCATTTTTGAATAGAAATCTACTATACT